ATTATGTAATAAAGCCTCTATTGTATGACTCAGTGAGCCTAAGTAGCCTGTCAATAGAGATCCTTATTTTTCTTTCTACTCCTCTAAGATGGCGCCACATGTGTGGTCTTTCTATTGGCTAGAAATTCCAAGAAAACATATGGAAAAAGAAAAGAGACCGGTAGGAGACAAATGAAACCGATGGATTGGAAGCTTATCGAAGCAACTCCCTGATCCTTTCTTCCTCCTCAATATGGAGCCATATGTATGGCTTCTTATTGGATGGAAAATTTCAAGAAGACACTTGGAAAACTACAAGAAACACATGGCTAAATCATGAGACAAGACTTAAGATCATTAGACACTTGGCAAGATAATGAGCTAGATGGCTTAATCATGAAGCACATGGCAAGGCATGATGTAAGAGGTGTGATGTCATGAGGAGTAAGCAATCTAGAAGTCTAGACACATGTCAATTTTGATTACACATGGCAAGATTGTAAGGGAGGTGATTTAATCAAGTGATACATGTTGGGGTAAAGGTAAGTGTGATTAACATTGGAGCTTTGATTTACAACGAAATCAGAGCTTTCTAATTGTGCAAAACTAGAGTGACTCTTCTGTTATATCCCCAACTTATATCATACTTCCATAATCAATTCAACATTTAACATTTGGAGGAAGATGTTAAACCTTACTTCTATAATACCTTAAGGTCCATTTTACATCATTTTAGACCACTTTGGATGGTCTTAAAATCAAGAAAACGTAATCAAAATGTTACTTACGGATTCACTATTTATTTGGTAATTCTTGAACTTCTGTCCAACTTTAAAAATTCATAACTAATTCTAAAAAAATTAAAATGGAGTGGTTCCAAGTCCTACCGAAAGCTCCTTGAATGCTCTTTAAGAAAAAAAAAATCTTAGGAACCAATTCAGCGTGAACGAGTGCCGGATTTGTACAGAATTCACTACTATTCTGTTGGTCAAAACTTTTTTCCAGATTTCAAACCTTAACGTTGAAAAATCATCATAAATCATACATATGTCCAATTTGAACGTCATACCTATTGATTTGAAGATTAATATGTCAACTATAAGCATACTAAATTTTAGAATTTAATACATCCAATAACATGGTCAAATTATAGCTCCGAAATAACAGCTCAAAAGGGTTATAGCATCCATACATATATTTACGTACATTGTCAAAAGTTAAGGGATTTCAAAATTATACATCATTCTTTCAATATTTTCTTCTTCTTCCTGGATGGTTCAGCCCCTAGGAAAATTTAATTGCATTTGGAAGGAATGAGATTTCATTGAAATCCCAATAGGAAGAGAAAATCAGCCATAACATCAAACATGCATTATCATCAAGCATCTCAACATTTTCTATCATTAGGGAACTAATCTTCATCATAATTAGGCAATCTCTAACATGTAATAGCCAAGGCATTCAATGCAAGGAGTAGCCATATAAACATTCATCATAGCTCAACCAAATAATAGCAATCATCCATATATTAACAATCAATGAATGAGTTTTTGAGCTGAAACTTGACAGATATATAGATCATGTTTTTAGCTTTAAGACAGGGGGTAAATCACTAAAATTAGAGTTTTGTACAAAAATTTATGCCTATCTAGAGTAAGACATAAATTCTGAAAAATTAGAAATTTACCAAATGAACAGTATTTCCTTGCATGAAATCTGAGCATTTGTTGTCACATCCAATAATATGGTAATTAAGAATAAGGATATTCCTAAATAATTAAGGACTAAAAATGATAAGGAGAAATAGAAGAATGTTGATGGAAAATAATTATTATGATTTTCCAAGTTAATTATGAGAATGCGATTAATTAAGGAAAATTGGTTAAAGATAATTATGAAAAAATATTTCCAAGCTTCAGAAAATTAAGAAAAATAAGAATAATATTCCTTGAGAATTATATGATGTTATATAATTGGTTTTATAACCAAATTACCCTTGGAGAAATTACAAAGGAATTTAAGAATGATTTAGGCTAATTTGAGGCCTTTTATTTGAAAAATTCCAAATAAATATTTAGAAGGAGAATAAAATCCCAAGAAAATTTTGAGGATGCCCCAAGGAATTATAAGAGATTATGAAATTAAAAGAAAACCCTCAAATATCCAAGATTTTTCCTAATTCCTTTGAAAAGTGAAAAAGTACTAATGAGAAGGAAATTAGTTTTCCTTTTTATTTAATTATTGGAAATTTGATTTTTGAGACAAAGAGGAAATTTTGGGAAGATAAAAACAAGGAGATTAAATTATGGATCTGACAGAAAATAGTTACAAAGACCAGAGTACTATAATTATAGAAAGAAAATTAAATCTAGAGCAAAAGTGCACCGATAAAGCAAGAAGTAGAGTCTTGCATTTTACTTGGCCCACAATTTGCCATTTGTCAAGGTCCTAATGGATAGTAATTAAAGTTGCCAAGTGTCAAGCCTTAAATAGAGAGGATTTTGGCTTTTGATAATTAATTACAATTGGATTTAAGTAATTAAGAGAGAGGTTTCAAGGAGGTTTAGGCAATTGACACTTGGACTTTTATTAAATGTGGTAGATGAGATATTTTGCTCATTAAAGAGAACACTTCTCCCCCTACTTTCAGATTACCATGCGGCCAAAGAGAGAAAGTGAGGGAAAAGAGAGAGTTTGAAAGAGAAATCAAGAGAAAGTGAACAACTTTGATCATGTAAGTGAAATTTAAGGTTAGTTTTTTATTCCAAGTTGTTCGTTGCCTTGTTTTCATGATTTGTATGGTTGGAACTTCTAGTTTTTCCTTTTTTTTTTGGAGCTCGCCGAAATGCTTAATGAGTAGGGGAGGAAGTTTTGTTATTCATACTTGTTAGACCACTTAAAAGCATGATTATTCCAAGTGGTTTCAAGTAGTTATATGTTGTTTTTGAAGAGATTTCTTTGTTGTTGTGTAAGAGGAACTGTTCGGCCAACTTAATAACTGGATCCTAGGATGAGTTTTTCAATGTTTTGATGCTTCCATTGTGTTCAAAATAAAAAATGGTATAGGATAGACCTAAAGATTAAGTGTTGGAAGCATTAGAATCAAAGTTGTAATTTTTGGATAATGAACCCTATAGGTTCGATTACTTTGATTTTGCAAGTAGGAAGTTTCTTTTCTTAAATCCAAGTATATATTTAGAATCTACATGAAAAATCATGTAAGAATGAGCTAAGAGAGAATTTTTAGGGTTAAGGAAACAAACTCTAAAAATTCAGGAAGAAAGAGGGAAGCTTTAAAGGGTTTAAGAATTACTTGAGTTATGTTGTTGATTTTTATACGGAACAGTTGATGATCTTGCCGCCCTTTTTGTGGTTTATCATGTTAGAGTTTGTTATTTGTGGAGGAAAGGAAGAAGATCAAAGAGCTTTTGGACTAAGGTAGTAAGATTTAATTAACTTTAATATTGATTGTTGCATTGATTACTATGCAATTTAATGTACTATTATGTGGTTGAACTAAATAATGTAGAATGATAATAATTGTGTAACTATACTCCTTGCTTTAAGTGCCTTGACTATTACATGTTGGAGTGCTACATGTATAAGGTAAAGTAATTCCCTATTAGTAGCAAAAGATTGGAATGCTTGTAATTGATGCATGTGATGTTATGGTTAATTATTCTTGCTACTGGGATTTCATTGAAATGTCACCCTTCCAAAATAATCCAACATTTTAGGGCCTAAATCATCCAAAGGTAGGCTGCAAATTCAAGAGTAATTGTGGTGGTGAACTATGAGAAAACAATTCTATTTTGGTTATGTATAAGTATGCATGGTTGGTGCTGCCACCCTAAAGAAGCCGTCAACTTGGAGCAGCATTTTGATTAAGCACCTGAATGAATTTAATTGTGAAATTTGGCATGCTTAGAGATCACATCTCGAGCTTCAATTTGATATGTAGCACGTTAAAAATGGACAATTGTGCAATTTTTAATGATTTTTCAAAGTTAAATCCAAAATCTAAAAAAAAGATTTTTACCGAAATGACAGTGGTGACTTCCACAAAAATCTGGCACTTCCTCAAAAGGTATTGATTCATAAGATTATTTTTTCTTGAAAAAGCTTTCAAAGAGCTTTTCACAGAATTTTGAACCATTCCATTTTGATTTTTTTAAAATTAAGTTACAATTTTTTGAAGTTGGATTAAAAAACTGGATTTTACCAAATAAACAATAAAAAATCCAAAAAGTAGCATTTCCAACATCCTAAATAAGATTTTTGAACTCAAAATCATCCAATGTAGTTTAAAATGATTCTAATTGAACTCTAAGTTGTTCTAGTATAAGATGTAACATTTTTCCTCTAAAAGTCATTATATGAGCTTTAAGTAGAACTACCTCATTTCAATTTTTTTAGAATTAAGTTATAATTTTTTAAAGTTTAGCCTAAGTTTAGAATTATAACGAATACTAACCCGAAAGAATTTTTCTAACTTAAGGTCCTGAGAAATAGTTCCAATTGGTTCCTATTCCTTTTTCAAAATTATGGTAAAAAACTAAAATAATAGACCCAAGTGAATAGCAAAAGTTTCCGCAATTTCTTGGTAAGAAAAATTAATTAAATCAAGGTGCAACAAGTCAAAATTCAACAACATACAAATAAGTCAAAACTATAGACATCAAACAGCACAAAGTCAAAATATAAAAACCAAAGTACAAATGAATCAAAACTATTGAGGACCAAAAAATTAGTTTTCCATTTTCCGATATAAATATAGACAAACAAGAATATAGTTTTTTTTTAACAAAATAAAATTAGAGAACACATTGGGAGCTTGAAGTGGGGAGTTGAACCATCCCCAAAAAAATTTTATAAAATTTGTTGGATCACAACTGAAATATCAAATAAATAGTAGCTTAATGACTAAAGTGCAGATTTTAATTTATAGATTTTCGCTGAAAATTGAATGAACCATGGCGCTTCCCATTGCATGCTAAAATTGTTGAAATGACCGACGCGAATAGAGACGGCGAAATTGCTCATATTTAGATTGGAATAACCTGGTTGTAATAATACAACTCCACAAAACCCAAAAGCAGAGGGCAAAATCTATCATCCATGGTTATATCTACTCATTACAACAGGCTAGAGAAAGAGGTTGAAGTAATTAGGAAAACTACTCCTTGTTGCGCGAAGACCGCTCCTTCCTTTGGCCACCAAGAATGCGTGAAATCTGCAGACCTCTACTGAATGCTTGGTTGAACAACATTCGAGTCTGAAATTCTGAAACAAAAGGAAACCACGCCAGGAATGCCACTGGAGTGAACAAGAGCAAACCCATCACTATTTCGTAACCACGAGCGAGTGTTTTCACAGATCCCCAGAATCCCGCTCGCCGAACAAGAGGCTTCAATGCCTGTGCAATCTGCAAACCCAAATGAGGTCAACATCCATGTGCCACAAGCAGATTAAGAGATAACAGAGAGGCTACTGACAGAAGATTTATGCCACTAGCAGCACACAGTTTTTCAAGTATCAGAAATATTGGATCTCATGAAAAATAATTATCATTATAATTTATGGAAAAAAAAAATAAGGACAACATTTACCTGAAGCATTCCCCAACCAGTTGGCATGAAAGCAAGAATGCACACAAAAATGTCTTGTAATGTCATATGAGGAAGTGCAATCAAAGTGACCAGAATTGAGACAAATGTGAGGAATATCATTCCCTTGATTAGCCGGAAGACAAGTTGAAAATTTGCACTGAACTTCCGTCTCCCAACAGACACAGTCTGAGACCCAAAAAGCAGAACAAATTTGTCAGAACACAGCAAGGATTTAGCATGTTTTCCAATCTTGAATTCACTGTGCCTGTATTCATAAGGAGCAAAGTCACTAACCTTCATCACGAATAAGATTAGAAAGATCACCAACCATGACAGGCCATAAACCTGTAGCCAAGGAAAGAATATTCAGCCCACATAATGACAGATTTTTATTGTTTTGAAAAAGAAGAGGACATGGTAAAGACTCACCAGAAAACTTTTTGTATGCCATTGCCTCGTAATATGTAGGTGATATACGAGGCCATACTGATAGATAAAAAATCGTAAAGATAACAAGATTTCAACAATGATGCCCCGCTTGCCAGAATATTTAAGATGCTCCTGTTCCTCTTCCCACCAAGATTCCCAACTTTTTTCCGGAGGTACCCCTATACCTCCGATGTTGCTAATCCATTTATTCCAATCAGTCCAATCATCCACAATTTTTTGCCACTCAAAGCCGGACGGATTAAACAAGAAGGGTGCAAAAAGCCAAGTTCCCACCATAAACCACATAGATATGGTGATGAGGATATAGGCAACAGCACTCCTATAAGAAGTACCAAAAATTTCATACACAATAAGCAAAATCATGAGTTCAATACCCTTGACAAAGTGGCTACGGGAGTAAAGTCTATAGTTGTCAGCAAATTTGGCATGGAAAACCACAAACCCACGTCCTGTGGGCCGATATTTTGCACCTCCATGAAGTAATGTCCTTCCATAATAATGAGTTTTTGTCCCAAGAGAGAATGTGAAGAACACTGGGGCTAGTTGTAACTGCATCAATATAAACTCACTTAGCGCAGTTCGGAAACCTCTTTCCAGGCCAATCTCCATTAGCATCGGCAAGGCCATTAGAAAACCAATCTGAACAAATGACTGAGAGGCAAGAGCTACTTGAAGAGGCTTATTGTCTCGAATGGCTTTCTGTGTACTTAAACCTTCTTCAAGTCCACTTAGAACAAGATAAAGGCGACCATAGAGGAATACATATACAGTGAGAACAGTAATCTGCCAATATTAGAGGATAAAAAAAGTAATTTCAGAACTGATATAAGAACAAGATAGTGGTTAAACAAAGCAATTAGCCATGGAAAACATACAAGAGTACTGAAGTAGAAACCAATTGTAGTGAAATAACAAGACAACATTCTGAAAAAGTCAAAGCGGTGCCCAAGTCGGTATACATCTCGACTTAGTGTTTGCTCTCCATTGCCATTAGCAATCTTGGCTTCAAACATGGAAATCTGATTGAGACCAACATCTCTTCCCTTCCCAACTTGTATGTACTCATGGTGCGTAACATTTCCCTCACGGAGGGTAGAGTTGAAACCTGCAAATAACATTTTAGACAAATGAAGATATAATCAACAAGACAAAAGATAGCAGTATGGTAATCACTGTACCAGCAAAAATATCTTCACTCAAATTGATAACTTTGGAGGCTTTGCTGACACCACCTCTTGTAAGGTGGAAGAGCCTATCAAAGATGTCAGGATGACCATAATGGAAGCGAACTCTGCACAGGAATAAAGAAGTGAACAAGGCTATATATCTCCCATAAACTACTAGTTAGATAAAGACCTACGTCAAGCACGGGAAACCCAACCTTAAACTCACTGGTGGAAGAACCATGCCAATCAAGTACCAAAGAATAAACCGTGATTCCAACAGAACTAAATAAATCTATGAAATTTCCAATCCATAAATTGACCAACTAGAAAATTTACCTATTCATTTTTTTTATCATAGCGGTTTAAAGACTTTCTTAAAGGATCTTCTACCACAGTAGATAGCACTGCATGTATCTCAGGAGGTGCAGAATAGAAATGAACATAGAAAAATAAATCCACTGTCTAGCATTCGAATGCTTCTTCAAACACTAAACAAACATGTACAAAGTTAGAAAGAAAACAGGAAAAAAATAACTCTTACTTTCATGTTCAGTTTCCTCTTTCATTGTTCTTTAAAACTCATTTTCAACCAATTCTAGCCTCACTTTCTTTTTTAAACTAATCACAATCAGTATCTACCCCAAACATCTAAATAATTACAACTTCCCATCCTTTTTACCACCGTCAATACCGCTGCTACTATGACCAATGTCATTCTCACTATTATCATGTTATGACACGCGTATTGTTAGAATACTTGAAAATAGTTAATGAATGCAGTAGCATTTATTGCACAATTGCTTATTAAAAGCCTTGTATTGCTGCACATTTGTTATCAACAGCTTTTCTATCACATCTCATAGGTGCAATAATATTTTCATCAATAGGCAAATGAATGTAGTTTATCATCGTATGTGTGATACATTGATCCAACCTTAAATGGGATAAGGTTTCTTATTGTACATGTGATAATATTCAAACATCACATAGTAGAAAGGCTTATAATGTCAACACCTTATGCAATGCTTCCAATTAATGGTCATGCTATTAGGACTTGCCTTGTAGCACGTAGCAAGCCTAAAGCTTATTGATGGGTTTTAAAAATTGGATTTTGGGAGGATATATGATCCAAAGTTTCTGAGGCTTTCGGTCTTCCTCAATTATATTTTACCATTGTACAATACCTCAATTCCTGTAACAACATATTTTGTTGGGACTTTCACTTTCTAAGTGAGCTTACAAGTGGGTATATAAATCAAATAGAAATTCTTCCTCCTATAAATCGTCCACGTCGTTCTCTTCCTTCAGGACACAGCATTATCCTCAAGACTTAACATATAGGGAGTATAGTCCTCCACATAAGGACTACACAATATTCTGTTACATCATGTATAGTGTTCTTTCCTCCCCCCCCCCACCCCCCCCACCCCACCCCACCCCAAAAACCACTGTTATGTCTGCCTATCATATTTGGTATCAGAGCCCTCTATTACAGTCGCCCCAGAACCCCTGCTTCCACTCATGACTTTGTCAACCCACCCACAAACATAAGCCATGATCATGTGGCTCAGCAATTACCACCATGGCTTCCATTTTAAAAGCTTTTGATCCGTTAACTGCTTAAGTTAAAGAAGACAGTTAGATGACGAAATATGAGCTGTCAAATAATGACATGGTCAAGAGCTATCCCTCATCTGAGAATGCACTATGGCTGTCACTCCTCATGACCTTATATCTATGCAGAGAAAACAGTCAGATGACAAACTGCTTAAAGAAGACAGTTAGATGACGAAATATGAGCAGTCACGTAATGAAATAGTCAAGAGCTATCCCTCGTCTGAGAATGCACTATGGCTGTCACTCCTCGTGACTTTACATCTATGCAGAGAAGGTGCAAACGTATTCTAAAACCTGTACATATCTAATCTGGCACATTATCACCCAAAAACAAAAAACAAAAAAAATCTGGCACATCATGAATAGCCTATTACAGCTCTAGTTCTATTTATTTACAAACATGGATGGAAAATAAACCTGTACACCACAGCTTGCCATAATTGTAAACTTGGCTAATTAAAAACCAGCCTTACACAATGAACAGAGCCATATTTTACATCACTCAGTATTTTGTTCCCGTGAAATTGAATCAAATTAGAAAACTTTAAGATAGACTTCTTCACAGGTAGACAATATGTCAATTCGCACACTCAATAGAGAACATAAACATAGAAGATCAAAACTTAATCAGCAGCACAAGTATATTCAATATTTCTGTCATCCTAGGAGAACTTACTTCAGAGGATTAGCCAGTAACCTTTGACCAATGGTCACAAAACTGGTCTCCTGATTTGACATGAACCATGCAAGAGAAGAAACACTGAAACCTCAAAGCAAAACAGTAACCAAAAAGAAATTCAGAAACACAACAAAATTAGATATGAAAACAACATAAATACATGAAAATTAAACAAACCTTCCAGTGAATATATGCTCCCTAAGCCCAAGAATACTTGGGTATCTCACGCCATCATGCTTCTTAAGAAACTCTTGCAGCAGATTTCTCATCTTCAAAGCTTCCTCCATATAGTTATCCTATAGGAATGAAAAAGTCAGAAACGGCATAAGACTCACTATGAGATGCACTTAGTAATATGACCTCTTACCTGGTTCATATCTATTGTTTGTAAGCCTTCACCACGTGTAAAAATGATGGCATGATTTTGATTTTCAGGCTTCCCCTCACCCAAAATAGCTGGCCCAGGAAGCTTAATTTTATATATGACCTGATTAAAACAATCATTTGATAAGCACATAGTCCAAGACTGATAAATGGAAAACTGGAATAAGGAAGCAAGCAGAAAAATGCTTCATGTAGAAAATTCCATATTGCATTGGAGAAAAGCAAGTCGGGCAAGTAAGCTTAAATTAGCTTGTTGATTAATAGGATTTATGATTGTAAATGAACACAAGGAGCTTGATTGATTGAGTTAGAGTATTTCACAAAAGGGAAGCAGAAAATGCTATGATCGAAAGGTGGCAATGGAACAAAATCTATGCTTGCTATCTAATCTGGACCACGAGGTGTGGACATTGGACAAGGCATGTCAAGGACCTCAAGGAATCCTATAAATGTGTATTATGGATGTGTTTGATACATAAGAGAGTATGTGGCTACCAAAGACCGCAAATAAGGAATCTTATTCATGACAAGTCATCCTCCAACCTCCATATGGCAATCTCCATGCCAATGTACAATGAGTCATCCTCGACGAACCTATCGCTAACAAATACCATGGTACATGCAGAGAGGGATTGCCTGAGACTCACAAGGATGTTAGCATGTGGGTTTCATTCCAACCAAGGCTTTTGACTACCTTGCACAGTAGCCTAGCATCCACTTATTTCAATTTTTTCATTGCCCCCTTTTTTTAATAAATCCTATTATATTTTGTATTGATTACTCAATCAAAGTAAACATTTACTAGAACTCTTAACCAAATAAAATCCATAGAAACTAACCAAATTGGAAACCAATACCAAAGTCAGGACTCGAGACTTAGTAGGGCCCAATGAGAAAACATCTCAACCTGAGACCAATACTTTTTAGGAAAAAAACAGGAGTACTTAGTGAAATTACTCAAAAATAAGGAAAAACTCCACGGTCATAGGCAAGAAGATTGGCGACACCACCAACATCGGCTTCAAGTTGGTATGATTACTTCTTAACTCAAATGGCAATGTTAGAGAACTTCATTAATGTTTACATTAGCAGATTTTCAACATTAATTTTTATTTATTCTTCTATTTACATTATGGTAGGATAACTTTGGTTTTGATTTAAAATTTGTGTCGACTACTTCATGAGGATTTAGCAATTTTCAACCTACCAATCCAACTCCTTTTATGCTCAAACCATTCAGCTTTCAATGGAAGAGAAAGAGCATCAACAAACCATAAAACTCTTCCCCAGTTTCTATTATTTCAACAACTTCTACACCTTCCCTTGAAGAACCTCATCATGTGTCCCTAGTCTCTACCCCCGCAAAAGCATTTCCCTGGAAAACTTCACCAACCCAGTCATTGACAAAAAGGGTTTGGATTTAATGTATGAAACTGAAACATGAGAAGATTTCAAGATTCCATTCTTCTTTCACGTCTTTCCTTCATGAGGTGGGGGCCTTTCAATTCCTTATGAACAAATTTCATGCAAAAGGTGAGCAATTTTATCAGGGTCGTCTTTGGCCTCCAAGGGTTCATTACACTTTTGATGCAAAACACTCACATACTTGAACTTAATGTAGAACAAAATTAATTTAGGTAGAGAAAATAGAAACAGGGGGATTGGAAGGAGTGGCAAACATAGGGAGAGAGGGAGATATCACATAACTCAATATTCATTCGTCCAAAAGTCTTCCAATACATATGCTTCCTACTCCTTATAGATCAAGATTTCCTTCTTTATGAAGTAATCTTGAGGACAACTTGCTACAAGAAGCAAAATCCAATTTGGTTTCCTTTACTAGAAGAAAACTTAATGACAACTTCCTAATAAAATATAGAATCAAAATCAAATTTGGCTTTCTCCATTAGAAGGAAACTCGATGACAACTTCTTAATAAAATATAGAAGCAAAATCCAATTTGGTTTCCTTTCCTAGAGGGAAACTTAATGATAACTTGCTAGTACTTAACCACTAAGGAAACCCAAGTTGCATAGAGATAATAACTTCAAAATTTTCTTCCAATATAGGTATTCTTATACTCTATCAATTCTCCCCCGCTTAGTTCCTCCAGAGAGTAAAGTTGATGATATAACTCCAATAGAACACACAGTGGGGAATTACTCAATGTAGCATCTAATATGGGAATCCTTTCCAACGAACAATGTAGTGAAAAATGAGACATTGCAGAGAGTGAGCATTTTGATTGTGCTGATTTGGAAAACCTTTCCAATATGCGAGGTAGTTGTAGAGGTTATCATCAAATAGGAAAACAATATGCTCTTTCATAACCTTAACAACTTCAGGATAATATGCAGCTTGATTCTGATGAATTTGAAAAATAGGAGTGCAATGTGCAATAGAAATATGATGAATATGGACACCTGTATTGTCAAGATTTCCAACATGATGAATTTCCACAGCCTGTGACTCATGATCCTTGGTCATTAATTCAAAGTCTTGATTCAATTCAAGATTCTTGCCTTCATATTCGGCAATGATTCTTCAATTCAGCCTTCTCTTGCTCCTTAACAACATTTATGCTAGCTAAGTTTTCAACCTTCGGATATCAAAAGAGAAAACCATGGAGAGAAAGGCTAGTTTGATTGTTGGAAAGCCTTTCCAATAGACAAGATACCCATGAAGAGACCCTTTAGATGATGGGATGACCTGAGGTACTATAGCTTGTGGTGGAGTAGACGCATGATGGAGTAGATCCTTAATGAACACAATGTGGGATGGTGATACTTTCACTACTGTAGTAGGAACAACCGTGGTTTCCAATCAAAAATTGATTTTTGAAAAAATTGACTTGTTTGGATGGTGAGATCCCCAAACCATCATTTTGAAACCAAAAAAGCCTTTTTTTTTAAAGCCAAACAGTCTAAGGGAGTTGTATATCCATTTCTTCCAATCATTATATATCCACACAAAATTGTTCAGGGTGGTACAAAGATTTCATGAGAATCGTGAGATAGTAAGGTTTTGATAACGAGTTTTAACATATCAACTCAGTTTGAATTTGTTTGACCCAAAATATTCAATGAAAAAATTGTTTGTCGTATAGATATAAAATAAAATAAAAAGTAGGCATTGTACTTGGGGATATAGCCGATAGCCTATGCCTATAAATAGATCCTCATATTGTAAAAACAGACTTGCAAATGAATAAACCAGCACACTATTCAAAGTTCCTTTGTCCCTCCTTGACTGTGCTCTATCAACTCTTCTCTATTCCATTGTCCTTCAATCCCTGTTGAAAGTTGGCTCATTCTCATTTGAGCCTGATGCTTAGATAACCCTAATTCCATTGTGACCATTTATACTCGCTTTATTAGCATTATCTTCAGTCTTTTATTTAGGGATTTCGAATAAGATATTTCCAGATTTGCTTCTGATTTGATTTTCTGTATTTATTGAGAGAGATTATGTGCGATTTCTATGCAGTCTCTCCTCCTATATGCATCAGCTTTCACAGTGGAATAAA